ACTGATCCGACAGGTCTCGAATCTGGGCGCTCGTGTACTCTGGGGCTCGGTGCCTCGAAGGGGCTCGAAAGCTTAGAGTCTCGGAGACTCGGGGAAGCTCGAGCCTGGGCAGTTGCGGGGGGGGGAGGGGGGAGGAGGAGGCAGAGGAGGAGGAGGAGGAGGAGGAGGAGGAGGAAGAGGAGGGGCCACAAACCGTGAGAGGGATGCGCTAAACAAGTAGTTCCAATGCTCTGCCTGCCCGAAAAACGCAAGTAACTTCAAAATCCAATCGGTCCCCATGGCCCTCCCGCACGTTCCTGACTCGGGAACGGCCGAGAAAGTGAGAATCCCAGGGCCCTGCCGCACGTTCGTGGCTAGGGAAAACTGAACTGGTGAGAATCCCATCGCCCTGCCACACGCTCGTGATTGCGAAAGCTGGAATGGTGAGACCACCAATGCCATGCTCAGCGTTTTTGATGCTGTTGCTAGTCAACATCAGATGATAGCAACTTCGATTCGCAACTGCCCCCGGGGATTATCAAGTTCGGCCTCGCCGCCCCTCTCCAACATTAAACCCTATTGACACGGGATGATAAATATTCAGGGGGGTAAGAGGGGTGAATTTTTATCCGGGGCATGCGGCTAGTCAGGATGAACGATTTTCCAAGGTTGCCATTGCAACCTTGCCCCTTCGGCCCATCCTTGGCCGATTTCGCTGGCCGCGCCCCGCTCGCGAAGTGTCGGCATGGCCTTCTGAAGCGTTTGCGTCCTTATCGTGCGCACTTACTATACGGGTTGGCTGTAGAGAAGGGGCACGAAGATACCGAGGACAGCTCAGTGATGCCCTTTAGTCTGACGGCCGTACGCTCAAAAGATTGCTCGGCAGGTGTGCCGTTCCTCCTGTGGCGCCTGCACAAGCAAGTGCAGATGGCTAGAGGATGCGGACCGCTCCTTCCCTGGGCGCGCCCGATTATAGATCGGCGGCGTGCGAGGGGGGGGAATGAGAAGGAGAATGCCCTCTCAAAAGGCGGCGGGACTTCTCTAACAAGGCCAGGGGACTTCCGAGCCTTCTCAGAAGGCATTCTCCTTCTCACTTCCCCCCTCGCTCGCCGCCGAATAGAGAGAGGACCACCCACAACACATCCCCCCAAATCAACGGCCGCAGAATACGTCTTTCTGCCCTCGAGGATGAAGCGGGGGAGCCTCGCGTCGCAGACACGGGCGGTCGGAACCCCCGGCAAGACCTGGAGCCCCTGGGCAACTGCACAGCACACGGCAGGAACAGCGTACGGTGAGGGCATTGGACAAGGAACCATTGGATAAGGAATCCAGAATCCAGAAGGGTAAGGAATCGTTGGATAAGGAACAATTGGACAAGGAGCCATTGGATAAGGAGCCATTGGACAAGGGACCATCGGACAAGGAACCATTGGAGGGTCTGGAAGGAAACCAGAATCCAGGTGGAGCTCCCATCGTGGATTGGCCGTGGACATCACTGCCCCTGTCATCAGGCAAGGAGTCCCCCAAGATCTGCAGCCCTCCGGGCACATTTCTTAACCAACGCCTCCACCGTACACTTTCGGAGGTCCGCGCGGATTTCTTGGATCGGCGCAGGACCCCCCTCCCCGGCAGGCGGAGCGCGCCAGTGGCGGCGCCCGACGCGCCGCCAGGGGGAGCCCAGCCCAGATAATTAGTCCGCGCGGACCTCTGAAAATTCATGTTCACGACGTGTTTCTGTGCCTCGAAGCCCGCCCCTGGTGGAAGAGGACTAGGGACGCGCCGACCTGGCTCAATCCCAACCCGGGTCAGTCGGGCTCGGCAAGATGCTGCCAAATCCTGCAAGATCATGCACGCAAGCCTGGGTCAATGCACCCCTGGCTCTGCCAGATCCTGCAAGATCCGGCGCTCTGGCTGACCCCCGTTCTCGGGTCGGGCGAAAGGGGGGGATAGCAAAGGGGGGGTTCGAGAATCAGCTCATGTAGCTGATTTTCCCGGCGTCTCCTGGCGCCGGAGGCGCCCATGTATCGAGGAATGGGCCCGGCGGCGGGGCCGAAACCAGCTGCATGCAGCAAATTTCGTAACCCCCCCTTTCCCTATCCCCCCCTTTCGCCCTGCCCGACGTTCGCATTGAGCCCCGTCTGGAGGCTCCCGAGAGGAAGCCCCGCCGGCCATCGGCCCAGCGCCGGTACGGCTCGGCGGGCGGAGAGATGAGGCCGCGGTCGCCGCAGCGAGCGGAGCTCACCGCTAGCGGGGGCAGGAGGGCGAGGGGGAAGAGGCAAGCTGGGTGCGCTCGCGTCATATCTGACGTCCTACCCCTCCCTCCCATCCCTTACCATGGCGCTGATTTTCTCTATCCGCGGACGCGTGTCGTAGCGGACCTGTGGCTCCGCGCGCGCGTGCGTAGTGGGTGGTGGTGCGCGTGCGTGCGTGGGTAGTGGTAGAGGATCGGGGGGGGCGGTAGGCTGCCCACGCGCTCCATTTTCGCTGCCCACGCGCTCCACGTTTTCAAAGTTCCATGGATGCCGTGCTGCCTCAAACCCACGGCAGCCGGAGGGGTCGAGGCTGGGCCGCCCTCGTCGACGAGCGACGGAAGTGGAGGGCCCCGCTCTGCGCGAGCCCCCAGGGGGGAGGGAGGGGGGGAGGGGGGGAGGAGAGGAGGCAGGGAGGGAGGGAGGGAGGGAGAAGGGAGGGAAGGGAGGGAAGGGAGGGATGGAGAAGGGAGAAGGCAGAGAGGGAGGGAGGGAGGGATGGAGAAGGGAGGGAAGGGAGGGAGGGAGGGAGAAGGCAGAGAGGGAGGGATGGAGAAGGGAGGGAAGGGAGATGCCCAAGCGAGCGAGGCGCCGCTTTCCGGCGCCGGACAATCTGTTTCGAGTGCCCTGGGCGTCCCCTGTGCGGGGAGGTATACAGCGACCCAGGTCCAGTCGTGCGTGGAGGGTGACAGGACTGCCTGCCTCAGGTGGTGGACTACGGGGAGGGAGGGGGGAGGCGGATGAGGAAGACCAGGACGGGAAGGGGAAGAGGAAACGGGGCAGGATGACAATGAGACTTCCCTTGCAGCTGTGTTCTAGAGCGTAGAGCTCTGTATTTTCGATTCGTTTCGTCTCGCCCCCCTCCACCCCCCAGACCTTCTCTCCCCGCTCACAGCCCCCCTGCCAGCATGCCTTCCAAAACGACAAACAGAAGGCCCACAGGCTCCGATATGCCCAAGTTGCCTCGAAGACGACAGATGCCCCCAAAATAGCCCAAGGAGCGCCCCAGAAACGCGACCACTGTCCAAAATGCATAAGTTGTGTTCAACCTTTGGCGCTCTTCACTTCTCAACTCAAGACGGCTCCGAGATGGGCCCTACTCCGCCAGGACAACTGTGTTGACCCATCTGGGCCTGCCGAGCGGAAGGCCCTCTTTCGCAAGACGATGGACGCAGACACGACCCCACTGCTTTCGCAATGCACCAACTCTTCTCTCACGCTTGGGAGAGTTGTGCTTCCCTCCGCGTGCCGCTCCAGCAAGGCACGCTAGCTTTTGTGAAGGAGTCTAAGGGGGGAAGCGGGAGGAGGGAGGAGGGAGGAGGGAGGAGGGAGGAGGAGGGAGGAGCGAGGAGCGAGGAGGGAGGAGGGAGGAGGGAGGAGGGAGGAGGGAGGAGGGAGGAGGGGAGGAGGGGAGGAGGGAGGAGGGGAGGAGGGAGAGCGGACAACCACAGCACTGTGAGAAGCACGGAGGGCCCCAAACGCCTCCTGGACGGGCCAGGATGGCCCCCTCTTCCTCCTCCTCCTCCTCTTCCTCCTCCTCCTCCTCCTCTTCCTCCCCCTCCTCCTCCTCCTCCTCCTCCTCCTCCTCCTCTTCCTCCTCCTCCTCTTCCCGAATCGGCCCCAAGACCACCCCGAGTTGACCCCAGGCCGCCCCCAGACGACCCACGACCGTCCACATCGCCACGAACATCGCCGAAGGAGCCCCCGAGATGGCCCAAAGGGGCCGCCAGCAGGCCCTCCACGCGGTGTCAGGCAAACCTCGAGATAGCCCCACGACGTTTCTTGCACACCGCTCTCCTCATGTCACTCGCCATTCCCTCGTGCAACAACGAGGGCACGCGTGTGGCTTGACACGATGCTGATGATGATGACGACGGAGACAACGACGACAACGACGACGATACTGATCATGACAATGACAATGACGCTGATACTGATAATGGTAACGATGATGATCGCGATACTGACAATGATCACGATGCTGGTGGTGGTGAGGATGATGAAGATACATATGACGATGAAGATGGTAATGCTGCGGATGACGAGTACGACGATACTAAGGATGACGATCATGACGCTGATTCGGATGAAGATGACGATGCTGATGGTGGTGGTGATGATGATGGCGATTCCGATGATGATGATGATGATGCTGATGATGATGATGATGATGATGAAGATGATGATGATGATAATGCTGATGCGGATGCTGATGCTGATGATGATGATGATGATGATGATGATGATGATCATGACTACAACTATGACAGCCATGTATATGCTAATCGATGTGAATATGAATATGCATGTTATGTTTATGACAATGCTGCTGCTGATGATGATGATGGTGATGATGATGACGATGATGCTGACGATGAGTATGATGCAGTGCTGCACTTTGGGTGAACATTGTTACCGCTCCCTGATCATTTGTCCTTCGTGTCCTCATCGCTCTGCGCGGCCTGAGGTCTGAGGGACTTCCTGGCGCTCCGCATCATCATCCCGAACGCGAGGTCCGTGACGAAGGTAGGCAGGTGTATCACTATGTTGCCGATTATGTGTTGGGACAGGCTGAGTCCAGCTGGAGGCCTACCAGATAACGTCCCCTGGCTCCAACTGCACTTGCTCCAAACTGGACCTTGACTACCTACCAAACCACCCCAACCTAATCCGAATACCCAAATCTCGGGTGGGGGGGGGGCGGGGTACGGGCTCCACACGTGTTTGTTAAAGGTTCCCCGATTCCCCCCCACCGCGAATGGGCCGTGGGGGGGGGTCTGGTGGGTGGTGAGACTCAGCGCCGCCCGAGAGCAGGCTGAGTCCAGCTGGAGTCCCGACAGGTGGACCCCCCGGCTCCATCTGGACGTGGTCCGACTGGACTCAGTGTCGCCCGAATGTAGCCGTCAATCCCGAGCAGGTACCTCGACTTGGGGAAGCGAGCGGTCGCCGCCTCCAGCGCCGCCTCCGCGATGCACGCCGCCCCGCCGATCCCGCCGTTCAGGCGCTCGAAGATCGCGATGTTCTTCGCCGTCTCCGCCATCATCGCGCCATAGTCGCAGTACACACGTGATAGTGCCGGGTCGGACTCTGATGCGCCGTTGGAGGACGCGCGGTCTAGCAAGTTGCTCGCGAAGAAGCCTGGCTGGAGCATCACCACTCTCACGCCGAGCGGCTGGAGCTCCTCGCGCAGGCACTCGTTCAGGTGGCACATCGCCGCCTTCGAGCAGAGGTACGCCGATCCGAAGCCAGACGCTTTCAGTGCCCCCACGCTCCCCATGTTGAGCAGGCGGCTGGGCTTGTTGGCCCTCAGGATCGGGAGGAAGGCCTTGCTGACCCTCACCGCGCCGAAGAAATTCACCTCCATGTTCTGCCGGAACCGCGCCAGCGGCAGGCACTCCGCGAAGCCAAAGGCCGACACGCCCGCGTTGTTGACCACGACCTTCAGTGCGAGGCCATGCTGCGCGCAGTAGTCCTCGACTGTCTTCCTGCACGCCTCCACGGAGGCGTCGGACGCCACGTCGCACACCACGGGGTGCAGGAAGCGAGCACAGTCGTCACCCGTCTGCTGCCTCGCGAGGCCGACCAACGCGCGACCTTGCTCTTCACTCAGCACGCCGCAGAACACCTGGGACAGCGGCGACAGATCTGGACCTCTGTCGGCAAACTCCTCTTGGGAACAGTGATGGGCGGCGTATTCGGCTGCAAATCGCAGAGCCACTCTCTGGCCGAGCCCGTCCCCCGCGCCGGTGATGAAACAGCAATGCCCTGTGCCAGAAAATGGGATTCCGACCCACTGTCGCCGCACACGCGCCCACAGCCAAGCACACACCCCGTATAAAATAAGCACAACTGCTAACCATGTAAAACAAGCTGCCAGTGGGAGGTCTCTAAAACCGATAAGTTCAAACGTTGACATATCCTTCGTACCAGCAGAGACTACGAATCACGTGTCATTATCATTGCGAGATTTTATGCTGCGCTCCAATGCAATGCTCTCTATTCTTGGGCCATCATGACCACGCACGAAGAGGACAAGGATGAGGAGGAGAAGCAGCAGCGGCAGGAGGAGAGAGGACGAGGAGGGAGGATAAGGATGGATGAGGGGGACAAGGCGGAGGAGGACGACAAGCAGATCGCTGGGAGCAAAAGAAGGGGCTCATCGTGTGAGGAACGCTGTCCGACACGATGCGACCGACCTGCTTGCGCCACGTAAGTGCTGGCGACATCTGCTGCGAGACGCCCTCACGCGACCGCTCATGTTGCAAGATCAAAGCCCCGCGCAAGATGAACGGCGGGAGGGGACGGGAGGGGCTGGGACCCTTTGTCCTCCTCCACCTTCTCCCTGTCCCTCTCTTCTCCTCCATCTGTTTTCTTCGAATACAAAGTTTCACCATGTGAGTACTACTTTCATCTTTCCCCTGATGCTGTGTTGTGTGGGGGCGCCATCTTCCCGCATATCCTTGTCACACACGGGACTTAGTGAGCGCTGGGTGTACGCGCGAATATTGATTGTGCTGTGATATGTCGTGGTATACAATGCTCTGCTGTACTGCCGTGGGTTGTGATGTACTGTGTTGTACTCTGCGATGCCATGCTGCGCCGTGCTCTACCACCCAAGGTTTGGATTACGCGATGCCGCAACGTGCTGTGCCATGTCACCGCTACGCTTTGTCATGATGTGCCACGGTCTGCTAGTCTAGTCTATATTAAGCAGCGCTTCCGTGCCATGCCGCGATGCTGCACCACGCTTTCCCTTGCGTGGCTCTCTATTGCGTTGCGCCTCCTGTACGCCTTCATCACACAACATGTCCCTGCCTGGTGTTGCGCCGAATCACGTCAGCCCTCTGGGTGAAGGTGGTCTAGGTCGTGCCTCTTTCCCCGGAGAACCGTTTACCCCTCCCCCCTCCCCCTAGCTCTGAATGGGGCGCACAGCGAGGCGCTGGAACGTCCAAGATGGCCCACCACGCTTGAAAGTGTCCCAGGAAAGCTCACCATCACGACCACGATACAACATTATAATGGGAGATCGTTGAAGATGGCGTACGACATGCTCCAAGAAGCCCCAGGAGGCAACGGAGCCTGCCAAGGACGCCCCCGAAAGGCCAGAATTCTTCCAAAACCTTGGGGGAACCACTGACTTTGACAGTCTCGCCTTTTTGCGTCCGATCTGATGCTTAAAAATGCCTCCAAGATGCCCCCAGAGCTCCAAGAGGGACGCACAAAGCTCCAAGACGGCCCCACGAACGCCCCTGGAGGACACCAAGAAACGGCGCGTTGGGCTCCAGAAGGGCGGGGCTCATCGAAGACCCTCCTTCTTTGATCGAGGGCCCACTGGATGGCCCCAAAAGGGTCCGAAAGGCGCCCAAGAGGGCCCCCAATTGAGCCGCAAGCGGGCCTCGAAGGCACACACATGGTCCTCAGAAGGCTCCGATATGCTTCCAAGGAACTCTCACAGCGAAAAGACAGCGTCCGCAAAAACCTTTGTAGCTGAACCGTCGCCACCGTCGCCGCCATCGCCGTTTTCCCCCTTAGTCCTCCTCCTCCTCTTCCTTCCACCGTTTCCTCCTCCTCCTCCTCCTTCTCCATTGCCTCCTCCTACTCTTCTTCCTGCTCCTCCTCCTCTCCTCTTCTTCTGTCTCTTCTTCCTCTTCTCACCTCCTCCTCATGCTCATCCTTCTGATCATCTTTTTCTTCTTCTGCGTCCTCGTCCTTCTCGCTCAACAGGGCCGCGAGAACGTATATGGTTGACTCCTGGGTCTGGCCAGGCTGATCCCAAACTTCGGTTTGACGGCTTATCCCCCCTTTGCTCTACTGCATGCTCCTATGGTTCCCTGGTTAACATGACTCGCATGGGCATCGTTGCTGGATGGGCTGGTGGGGACATGCGACGCATCACTACTTCCTTGCGAAGGGCGCGAACGGGTGTCTGCCAGCTCCCATTACGCTGGCAACGACTCCCCTCTCCTTCTCCCCCCCTGTCCGTTCTTGCCGTGCTCCTCCTCCTCCTCATCCGCCTCCTCCCTCTACGCCCACTCCCTGTCTTGGTCTTCGAACTCCTCCCCGCGGTTGTTTCCCCGTTCGTCCCCCTCCTAGTCTTCATCCTTCGCCTCGTTTTTCCTCCTCGTATCTCTTTTCTTGCCTCGTCGTCGCCCTCAGTCCGAAGTTCTCCCACCTCCGCCCTCGCTCCTCTTCCCTCCACCTCCCCTTCGCCTTCTTCATGCTCACCCCACTTCCCTTCCACCTCCTGCGTGCCCCTCCCAACTTTGGATGTACGAAACCCTAGTGTGCCCTGGAAACGACAAGGCCGTTTTTGTTACCGGTTCCGTTTTGCCGTTTTTTTGCCGGTTCTTGCCGTTTTTGTTGCCGGTTCCGACGCCGTTTTTTTACCGGTCCGTTGCCGTTTTTTGACCGGTTCTGGCTCGGGTTCCAATCCTGGAGCCGTTTTTTGCCGTTTCCGGTCGCCGTTTTTTTGCTGCTTCCAATTTTCAAGGGACATTTTTTGGGGAAACGGTGAAAAAACGGCCCCGCCGTTTCCGGGGCCCACAAAGCACGAAACCCTGCTTCGACAAAGCTGCCCCCTCCGTGGCGAGGGGCGGGGGGTGAGTGGGCAGCGGCGGGGAGGCTGGCCCTCCCTGCCCCGCCCCGCGGCGGTGGAATTGAACTCTGGGCTGACGATGGCAATGTTCATGTTGCTGGCATCCGGCGCGGGGGGCGTGTGCGCGGCAATACAGTTGGGGCGTTGACCTAAGGAACCCTAAATAAGGAACGAGGCCCCTCTTTTCCATAAGTTAACCTTCGATTTCCTGTCGAAGAAATAAAGAAAGCCTGAGGAAAACTGTGAAACACTTAAGGAACACGGAGCCCCTCCCTAACGAAAAGGGTTCCTTCTTCAAGGCCCCGACTGTAGAGGGGGAACTGGAGGAAGGAGGATGCGGAGGGGAAGCGGAAACAGCATGGGGGCACAGAGGAGCGGACGGGGGCACCGGGACGATATGTATTTATGTATGGCTGGGGCACGCAGTTGCTCCATGGGTCTACTCCACGTACAATGCACAATGTTTATCTGACGTGGTTGTGAAATCCGGAACCCGACAATGTAAACCAATTCCATATTGAAACGACTTGAGCTGTTTGAAATACTCGAACCCTCTGAATTATTCGATACGCTGAACAACTGGTTGCTGGAAGGATGGCGAACCCACGCCGTTTAGCCCGTTTCAATATTTGAAACACTTGCAAAGCTCATGAACAAATTCAGTCCACACATGCATCTAACGTATGTAAACTATCATATGCATTTGAATGCCTATCAACGCTGGTTGGAGGGCGGGTGGGTTCACAACATTGAAATCCGTAAAGCAATTTAAACCATATAAATTCATTTCTCTGTAAGCACCGTAAATGCTTGGAATCCGCTCGCTGGTTTGAAATGTTTGAATTATCAAAGCTATACGAGCTGTTCAAATATCCGTAAACTTTGGGTTGTGGAAAGAGGGAGCTTTCACAACATGGGGCCCCGTGTTTATTGAGACGGCGACGACTACGACGACGACGGCAGATAACGAAGAGGGATCGAATGCAACAACGAACGCGTGTCATCTCAATCGCCAAGGCCCACCAGTGGAAACCCCAGGAGCTCGTGAAACCCCATAAAAAAAAACAAAAATATACAGATGACGCTTGAATCGCACGCGGGCAACTTCCCCTTGTAAGAACTCGTTCTTGCTGCAACTACCACCCACAAAAAACAATCAAACGCTCGAAAAATGAACAAGCCCTCGTGCATCCAGACACCAGGATGCTCTGCGGACGCCTTCAAAGGGCTTTACCAGAAACCAGCTCTAATCGGCGTCAGGACATGCTTGTTTGTGGTATTGCTTGCACCCGCGAAAACGCAGCCTGTCGAAGTCAACGAAACTCCTTGCCCCCCGAGGCTCGGAAGCTCTGGGGGCACTTTTTCTCTGTGAACACATTCTTGTTTTTAGTGAATGTTGCGGGAGCCGTTGTTGTTGTAGTCCGGGGGAGCAACATCGCAATTTGTCCCGGACTGAACTATGAGGAATTCTGAAGCGGGAGCGCCGTTCCGGAGTAAATTGGGGAGAATTCTCACACGGGAGAGGGTCCTGAGTAAATTTGGAAGAACTCTGAGGCGGGAGCCGTTGTTATTGTAATCCGGGAAGCCTGGGGCGCAGTTTGAGCACCAAGACTACGCCTGTCAAAAAAACAAGGTGCAAGCGTCGATGGGCACACTTTGATTGAGACAAAACAGCATGCACCGGTGAGGGGTGATCAGCAATAACTATTTTTCATAAACAAAAACTAAACAAACATTCCACGATTGTTCGTTCCTACCGGCCCACGTGTCCTTCATTATGCGTATCCCAATCCCTGGATACCCGCCCTCTTCGTCTTCGATCGTACCCCCTTTTTGGGGGTTGTACTCTCTCCTGGCCACGTGTAATTAGAGAAGCCCCTGAACAGGGAAACGAAACGAGAAAAACAAAAAGAGAGGATGGAGGGATCGGAGGAAGGGAGGGATTACAGGGGCAAGAGGGAGGGACGACGATGATTTGCGCCGCGAGTTGCGATTCAGCTTGCGCCATGGCTTGCGCCAGCCATTCCAATACGGTTTAACAAAGGCTTCGCCATGGATCGCGCCATAAACAGCGCCATGTAACACCTCTGGTGCTGCTCGGCGAAAAGTCAGAGGCGAATGTGGTGCCCAGTATCTGAATAAACTGCGGAAAAGTCGCAAGCGCGAGCGCAATCTCTGGAAAGGGGATGTCTGCGGGGAGCGGGGGTCTAGACTAAGGCGCAAGGAAATCTTAAGCGGGAGCGCCGTTCTTGAGTAAAGTGTGGGGAAGCCTAAGGCGGGAGGGGGGGGTCCTGACAAACTTGCGACGAAGTCACAAGCGGGAGCGCCGATCCGGAGTAAATTGGGGAAAAGTCTTAGGCGGGAGCGGGGTCCTGAGTAAATTTGGACGAAGTCTCACGCGGGAGCCGTTGTTGT